AGGTAGCATAAATCCTATTTTAACATTGGAACCTAAAAAGTTGTATCAGAAGCCAAAAAGAGCTAACTTTCTACCCAAAGAGCTAAAAACCAACAAGACCCCACTCGAGTGCAGAACTAACAAATATTAAAGCTAGTACTGGCTAATGGCTGAAAGCTGAGGTGCTGGACCTGTCTCAGATCCAGATGTTTTGGTTGGATATTCTTGGGTAAGTTACTTGAAGCATTACCTCTGAACAACAGGACTGACAACCTCATAGGGTTATCTGTGTGAATAAAATGACAGAGCCCATACAAAGTAGCTAGCACATGTAAATGTACAATAAATGTTATCATTACTATCACAATAATGATGATGATGCTACAAATAATATCAAGACAGTCAAACTTGATTCTCATAGGATATATATTATTATTTACATGACTAGTGAAGAAGATACCAAGTGTTTTGCAGATATTCAAAAACTACATTAATTGCTTAAGACATAATTTTATGGTATAAGCTTAGTAAATCTAGGATTTATTCACTGAACACCTATGTGAGTTGTGGAAAACACAGAGACAAGAAAATGACCTTTACCCTCAAGGAATTTATGCTATAAACACAGGTAACTAATCACAATTATAAATGTGGCACCACAAAGAGAGATGTAAAACACTGCGGAGCATTCCCATAGTGATTTGTGGAAAGCTTCCTAAAAACATTTAAGAATCTTCTCTTCGAAAGCTGCCCTGGGCTTCCTCTCCTCAAATCACCAATCAGGAATTAATATCTTCCAAGGCTCTGAAATCAACAACCAGGAGTTAACACTCAAGTCCCTTTCAGTTAGGCCATGTACCTCACTGCGACCCCATGAACGTTATTAAAATATAAAAGTTTACTTTTACAGCTATGTCAATGGTGTTTGATAAAGCCAGCAACTTTTACAATGAAATAAAGACTTGAAAAACTTTACAAATGGCTTTGACTTTCTTTCTCAATAAAGAGTTGCTGCTTTTGGAATAATGATTCTAAGAAGGGTGAATTAGTGCCCAGTTTAAAATTATACTTATTCCTCCTCTCGAGTTAGTAAAAGGAAACAGTTATCGCTGACTCCTGGTGAACTAACCAATATGAATACATGGGAGGAAAACGCTCCATTCATGCATAGGAATTACCTAATTGATAGAATTTATTGAAATAGATCAAAGAGGCAAGCCAAGCTGTGTTAGAGAACTGAATGTGTTCTACACTGCTCAGGGGACTGGGGTTCATAGTCTCAAAAGAAATTTATATTAAGTCAATGAAAATGAACAATTCATGTAATAAGATTATGAGTCATCTAAAAGGGGTAGTGTACATAATTATGACATTAATCTAATTGATGGGGATCGCTTTTGGAATGATTCTGTGAAAGACTGGTCAATGTTCCCTCTCCAGTAACAATACAGCACCTGGTTTCTCTTTATGGTTTCATCATTTCATTTGGTTAAAATAAAGACATGTACTTAACCCACTTTTAAACCAGAGGCAACCTGGATTTCATGTGTTAGGTGATTCTACAAGTTACCATAATATTATAATCATTTTTCTTACATTATGCATTCATGGATTCAGCACTTTTACATCTTCTCACACAAATTGTAAATAGAATTTCTAATAGAAATGGTGAGACATTGGCACTTTTCACTGTCATCATAATATAAGGGGAACTCTTTTTACAATCTTCTGCATTAAGCCCGCAAAAATGTTTCATCACTGAAGGCCTACATCTCTCAAATATTCCTCGAAGAAATCCAATTGAACGAAATTAATTTAGCTACTTCAAGAATGGCATGATAAACATGATTTTATAGAAATGATGAGAAGACAGCATAAAGTTGAACAAGAAAGTTAAAGTAATTTTGTGATTTTTAGTATTTTGGACAAAATGGAAAGTGAGTAGATATTCTTTAACGGCAATGGCTTTTGTTAAGCATTTTCCAGTTTTCAAAGAGTTTTTATATACATCATCTTATTTGGTGCCCCCCCCCCCAAGTAACTCACAAATGTGAGCAAGGAATGGAGTATTATCCCCACTGCATAGATAAAGAAGCAGAGACCAGAAGAGATTAGGTGACTTGTCAAATAACTAGGTGACCACACCATGCCTTCTGACTCCTAGTCCAGCTTGGAGTTATTAGGTATTAACTAATAGTACTATGATTATTCCTTTTCAGGATTTTTCTAAGCTCACAGGTACTCCTTGGTTTTCAGTTAAAATTCTTAAATAACTACTTTCTAGCCTTATCTTCAAAAAGGAAAACTATACATATTTTGCTTATATAAAAAGATGCTGATGGCAATGATTTGACATCATCATATGATATCCATGTGATCTACCACCATTTGTTCTAACCTGAGGCCAAAACAACAGTTAGCTGCTGAGGAGACCAGTTTCATCTGCTAAGAGCGGGTCCTCTCAGTACATCACACTAATCACTGAATTACCTCCATCAAATTGGTGGATTTATGAGAAATGGGTGAATGTTTTTCATATCCTTTTCTTGTACCTGACAGTGCTCAATGACAAACTCAAAAAGTACTGAGCATAGTAAAACTGGATGGCAAAGAAAACTGTCACTGGACAAAGGAAAAGCAGGTGCTGGGTAAATGACCTCAAAAACTAACAATCATTTGTTTTACCTAGCTAACATTTGCTATCAGGGATGGTGGTTTAGAAGGGTACAAGTAAAGTAAGAGCTACCGCTGACCGCAGTAGTGGTTATTCTGCGCTGGACACTACTGTAGGTGCTTTATGAGAATGAGTTCATTTAACAAATCCATAAGGTAAGTACTATTATAACCACATTTTACAGCTGAAGAAACAGATTTTAAGTAACATGCTCTAAAAACTCAGCAGGTAAATGTCCATTCAAGTGCATTCAACCCAAGCCATCTGATGTCAGAGGCTGTCCTCTAAACCAGGGTTCTGCAGACTATAACTCATGAGTCAAATCCAACCTGCTATCTGTTTTTATATAACCCTAAGAGTGGTTTCAGGATTTTTAATGGTTAGGAAGAGAAAACATCAAAAGAAGAGTATTTCATGACATACGGAAATTATGTGAAATTCAAGCTTCAGTGTCCATAAATTGGAATGCAGTCACACCTGTTCACACAGCAGCTATGGCTGCTGTCACATTACAATGGATGGGATGAGAAGTTGAGTTGAGAGAGTTGAGTACTCGTGACAGAAACCATACATGGCCAGCAAAGTCTAAAATATTTTCTCTCTGGCCCTTTACAGGAAAATCTGCTCACTCCTGCTATAAGCCATTCCATTCTATGCTTATTTATCATCTCTACTTGGATATCGTAACAAATATCCCAAACTTAAAGTCATTAAGATCAAATTCCTGATTTTCTCTAGGACCCAAGTCCAGATCTGTATCAGAATAATCTTCCCCTATGGAAAATCCACCTTTCTAGATATAAAAGTCATAGATCTAGAGTATCCTTGAGTTCTTTCTTTCACTCATGTTCAAAACCATCAATGAACCTGATCAGCTCTGCCTCTGAAATATCCAACCCTGCTATATTCCATCCACGGCTAGCAGCCTGGCCAAAGCCATTGCTATCTCTTTTCCAAATTATTGCCATTTTATCTTACTAGGTCTCTCTTGCTTCCAATCTTGCCCAAGATAGCAGCCAGAATGCTGTTCCATTCACAAACCCTCTTGCCTCTCCAACATGCCACTGCTTCAGGGCTTTGGCACTGGCTGGCTTCCCATTACTGTAAATCTCTTACCAAATGCCATCTGTTACATAGGCCCTCCCTTTGCATCAGACCTCACACCTACACTCCAAGGCCCTGGGACTCCCTTTTTCTCTGCTTTATTGTTCATCCAGATACATGCAACCTGCCATTCACTATATATACTAGGGCTCCCTGAGGGCAGAAGTTTAGTTCATTTCCTTCACTAGCATATTATAGCAGTAGCCTAGGGCCTGACAAGTATTATATGCTTAAGTAGATACCTGCTTCATGAATGAAATGACCCCCCCATTCAAGAAGCACTCACACTACTGACATACAGAGACAGGTAAACAGATTTAACGTGTAAATAACTGTACTGAATAAGGCTTAATGGTGTATTTCTCATTTTATCTACTTTCTTATTAAACATTTTACTCTAAACCAAACAAAATTCAGAGGTCTCCATCAAAGGGAAGAGAGAGCTAGCTTGTATCGCCCATGTATGAAATGATTCTAGACAAAGCTACTTTACTAAACAAGGGCACTGATAAGGGGGCTCAAATGCCTATTCTGAAACCCACAGTCTCCTTCTGTTTTAGCCTTAATCTCCACCTTTGAATCTCTGTCAAACTCTAGGGCCTGCCCAGGGTTACTGCCACGATTCCTCTTCTTCTTCTTTTCTCTTTTCTTTTTTTTTTAAGGTTTTTATTTATTTATGAGATAGAGAGGCAGAAGGAGAAGCAGGCTCCCTGCAGGGAGCCCAATGTGGGACTAGATCCCAGAACCCTGGGATCATGCCCCGAACCGGAGGCAGAAGTTCAAACACCAAGCCACCCAGGCATCCCACGACTCCTCTTAATTCCTCTTCCTGAGTCCTACTATTCAACTTGTGCCCACTACTCTTGAAAGTGATACTCATTTCTTAGCCACAAATGCAGTGAAACTGAGGTTTCCCAAAGACAATAAATCCCTTAGAACACTATCATTTCTACAAACCTACTCGAGTTTAGTCTACTCAGTGTTAGAAAGAGTCAAGAGTAGCATTCTAAAATACCTGGGGGAGTTGGAGAGTGGTAGATGCCTGAATGAACCAATAATAAGACCATACCTAAAACAACCAAAGAAGAAATAACGTCCCCTGTGAGAATGATCTACCTACTTCGCTTCTTTTCTTTTAACAAGGAAAAGCAGATATAATTTTAATTATTGATGCTTAAATAAATATACAGGAAAGCTGCAGGTGTGGTACTAGAAGAGAATCAATGAGAAGAAATAGTCATACCCTCTCCTCCAGTCTAGCCAGCTGCTCTTTGTAGAATGCATCTTGCTTCTTTATCACTCGATCTTTCTCTTCCAGCTGCTTAGCCTAAAAAAAGACATGAAGAATATACTATATCAAGAAAAAGCAGCAACAGCAAAGCAAAAGTCAAGTATAAATGACATTAGAAATAAGTACACAAAGCTGAAGATTTTTGAAGTCTATTAGGTCTCTGCCATAAAACAATATTAATAAAATGATGATTGCTGTATTTAAATATAAAGAAAGAGTCTATATTGTATTTTTTTTTTACTGTGACAGCTGTGTCCTACTTTGTCAAAAAGCTATCAGAATAAAGCACAGTTTTATTTAACTTCTTTTGAAGAGTAATTTTAAGGATTAATATTTTGTACAAAACTTAGATTTTTGCCAAGCATAAGCCACATAGTTATTAACCTTTTTTTCTTTTTTTCTAAACAAAAACACCTATATGACATTTTCTATGTAAATCTTATTATGTTTGAGAACCCTTAAATTACTGATTGAAACCTGCACATAAATACATGTATGGGCCTATTTTCTTTTTTGTGAAGCTGTTGTCTTGGGCTGGGGGATGGGGGGGCGGGGCAAAAACCACTGTAAATGTTAATTTGTATAATTAAAAACTGGGATCCCTGGGTGGCGCAGTGGTTTAGCGCCTGCCTTTGGCCCAGGGCGCGATCCTGGGGACCCGGGATCGAATCCCGCGTCGGGCTCCCGGTGCATGGAGCCTGCTTCTCCCTCTGCCTGTGTCTCTGCCTCTCTCTCTCTCTCTCTCACTGTGTGCCTATCATAAATAAATTAAAAAAAAAAAAACTAACAGTGAGAAAACACAGTGAAAGCAATTTTAAAACTCAGTCATCCTATTTTGAATTTTTAAGATTTTTTTCAAAATTAAGAAAAGGTAACAAAATTTTTCTGATACTTGAAAAAAAATGATGATAAAGATAGTTACTTATGGATGTTTTTCAAAGTTAATTAAAAACCTGTGTTTTTCAAACTGCTGTTTATATCTTGATCATTACAACATTTAAGTGGTGTTTATCTCTGAGAAAAGACCTCCCTGTTTCACTCCAAGTTAGGAATGTTTTTAATATATTTCTGTTCAGTAGATGTTGAATATACACTTGACCAGAAATTTTAAGATATCAAGCAAGTCGGCATTCCCATCCTGGTGCCATACACCGCATTTTTTTGCAGTGTGACCAAGGGTCATCTGGCTCAACCTTATGCAAGCATGACTTTCACTATCTATTTAGTTTAAGGGTACCCATTTTGCACATTCGTAGGTCATTGCTTTGCTACTTACTTTGTCTTCAATGTCCTGCAGCATGTTAAAAATAAACAAACAGTTATTTAACAATATAAGTAGTATTTTTTCCTAATGTCATAAAGAAATCTGATAGGTAATATCTAAGATGCAAACCAAAGAAGGCAATAAGGGAAAAATAAAATCAGAGAACTTGCTTAACTTGGGACAGTTAAATGTCATTGTGCTGCTACAGCCTGAATAGAAGATTTCAATGAAAAGTTCATGCTGCTTGAAAGCATATGAATACATTTTAAAAGAATAAAATATTAAAACATATTCATATGCAAGTACACAATAATCTATGGCTCCTTGGTACAACATAGTCAAAACTGGACTAGTCAGGAATATAAAAGAAAAGGTAAACACCCAAAATAGAAATAAAGGAAATTTGTAAAAGAAAAGATTTATGAGACCTTCCATTAAAAACAAAAATCATTAAACCAAAAGAACAAGCAAATGACAAAAAGAGGAAAAGAAATTACAACATATAACTGTGAGAGTTAAAGTTACTAAAATACAGAACACTTTTAAAAAAAGCCCTCTAATTGTCCCCGCAAAAAGCCAAAAGAAAAATACACAAATGATATGTACTGGCAATTCACACATAAGAATACAAATAATAAACACATGGGGGAAAAGCCAACCCTAAGAGAAATCAAAGAATGAAAATAATGAGATACCACTATTCACCTAATGAACTGACAAAAATATAAAATAGTAGCAAAAATGTCACAGATAGGCTCTTCTATACACTATTGGTCAGAATGTAATTTTGTATAACCACTTTTTAAATCAATTTTACAAAATGTAATGTTTTCGGGATCCCTGGGTGGCCCAGCGGTTTGGCGCCTGCCTTTGGCCCAGGGCACGATCCTGGAGACCCGGGATCGAATCCCACATCAGGCTCCCGGTGCATGGAGCCTGATTCTCCCTCTGCCTAAGTCTCTGCCTCTCTCTCTGTGTGTGACTATCATAAATAAATAAGTAAGTAAGTAAGTAAGTAAGTAAGTAAGTAAGTAAATAAATAAATAAATAAATAAATAAATAAATAAATAAATAAATAAATAAATAAGGATCCCTGAGTGGCGCAGCGGTTTAGCGCCTGTCTTTGGCCCAGGGCGCGATCCTGGAGACCCGGGATCGAATCCCACGTCGGGCTCCTGGTGCATGGAGCCTGCTTCTCCCTCTGCCTGTGTCTCTGCCTCTATCTCTCTCTCATTCTGTGTGACTATCATAAATAAATAAAAAAAAAATTAAAAAAAGTACTTTCATTTAAAAAATAAATAAATAAATAAATAAATAATAAAGAAACAAAAAACAAAATGTAATGTTTTCAAAATGTACCTATTCACTGAGATCTAAATTATTTTTAGGACTTTTTATAAGTAATTGTGACAATATACAAAAATGTTGATGATAGGGTTGTTGAGAATTGCAAAGAAGCAAAAATAAAAACCAATTTAATGGTTAATAAAAATATCCTCAAAATATCTAAAAAACAAACAAACATATTATAAACAAAACGGACAGTATAATCTCTTTTTTGTAGGGAAGAAAAAAACCCAGAGAGGTACTTGACAAAATGTCAACAAAAGCTGTACCAGAACAGTAGGTTTATGGGTAGTTTCTCGTTATTCTTGCTTCTTTATATTTTCCAAATTAAAAAAACAAAACAAAACATATACTTTGTAATCAAAGGACATAGGAGGGAATTTTCTAAGGTAAGAGAACTAGTCTGCTTGTTGATAATGGTGGTGGTTACACAATCGTATGCATATGTGAAAACTCACAGAACTATGTATTACAAAGAATGAAATTAACTATATAAGTATTTTGAAGTGTATACAAATTAAGTACACTAAAATTTATGAGAATAGCTACTTATAAATATGTGGATGGGGCAGCCTGGGTGGCTCAGCGGTTTAGTGCCACCTTCAGCCCAGGGCCTGATCCTGGAGACCTGGGATCGAGTCCCGCATCGGGGTCCCTGCATGGAGCCTGCTTCTCCCTCTGCCTGTGTCTCTGCCTCTCTTTCTGTCTGTGTCTCTCATGAATAAATAAACAAAATCTAAAAAAAACAAAAAAAAAAAACAAAAAACAAAAAACCAATAAATATGTGGATGGATATATGCATGTATCTTTGCTATTGTTAATCTGCTTATCACTTGGCCAATTTTATTCTAGGCATTTAATCCTAGGAAATATTAAGAAAAGCACACAAAGATTTATGTCTAAGAAAATATAGCGAATGTCACTTAAAGCAACAAACAAGTGGGAACAATAGAAGTTTGTGTAAATGAGTTTTGGTCCAACATTTGATTGATTATAAAGTTTTAGTCCAGACATAATGACCAACATTTAAAGTCATTAAAAAATAATGTTTTAATAGTTAATTTTTCTAACTCAAAATTGTAAGTGTGTGTGTGTGGGGGGGGGAACTGGTCAAAAATAGCATGTACAGGAAGTTCCTAATTTTGCTTAAGGAAGGAACAAGGAAAGCTGAATGCCCTGTTATACAGACTTGGAAAAAAGTATGTATTATACCAACATGTTAATGGTGGACATGTTACGCATCGTGGGATATTTTTTATTTAGACCGTTTTATGCTTTCCAAACTTTCTAGAATGAACAAATATTTCTTCTACAATCAGAAAAATATTTCTTAAACATTAATATCACATGTATGTATCCCTGGCTATGAGATGGAAACATAGCATGATACTCAAAGGAGTGAGGTATTTAGCAAATTATATTAACAACCAAATTGTTTTAACAATTTGAATAATTATTTAAAGCATGAAGATTATTTTACCTACAAAATCCTTAATGTACCAGTACTTGATTCTCTCTCCCATTCAATGTATGACATTACCTACCATGGTTCTTGAAACACGTGCACCAGATGTTTCTTTCATTCCTATATAGTGCACAGTGAGACTATTTTTAAAACACAAATATAAAGTAATAGGTATTCTATTATGGTCATTTAGAAAACACTTAAGAATTCAATACTATAAATATATTGCTTAAGCCTACTGAGGACTACATGCATCAAAAAAATTTAATTTTGAGAAGCAACATAAATAAAGGATAGATAGCAATATCTTCATTGACTTTTCTAAGATGCAATCTTTGAAAAAATTTAAAGCAACGTGTGAAAAGGTCAGGTATGCCCACTAAAAAGGAATTACCTCCAAAGACCAGAAAACACAGAGCTACAGTCCAACATCACAAATCTTTCCCTAGACAACCAACAGAATCAATAGTTTGAGATCCACTGGTGACAATAACAAAAAAAGAAACATGGCCACAACACTTTAAAGGCACATTGCTTTGAAACAGTTAATGTGATACTGGGAGGGAAAGTCACACAATATGAATCCTGAAACTTAAATAAGCCTGGAATACATTGACTAAACTAATAGCTGCCAAGGATGGAGAGTCACACTCAACTTATGAAAAAGCAGTAAACCAAGGGCAAGGAAATAAAACTTCCACGTACAACTCTCTAACAGAGAGAGAATCATTGTAAATGAACAAACAGAAAGAGGATTACAACATCACTTATTGTTCTAAAACCAGTGCTTAGGGGAAAAAATGAATATAAAAAATGTCCCCTCATCTCTTGTTTACTATTCCTCTCACTACAAGAAATGTGCACTGATTAGTTTTCAGATCCTGTTAGATTTGGGATACCGTGACTGGACTTGAAAACATGACAGTAACTTAAGTTGATCATTATGGAAAACTAGAACAC